TTGTTTAATTTTATTATAAAAAAAAAAGTTATCATGGTTTAAAATTATTCAATTTATTATTAAATTTTACCATAAAAATTTACATTGCAACTGATAAATTAATAGAAATTTCTTTTTATAATTCATGTTTCAAAAAAATATATTGTGTTGAAATATATGATAAAGATACTAAAAAATCCGTACATAATAATTTTTTATATTGATGTAACATATCAATAGCCATCGAACACCATAATAACTGGCTGACAAATGACGTATGAATTTAAAAAATATTCGACAAACTTGACGGCACTTGCTTATTAATAACATAAGTGTAACACTCCTGGGTCATAATAATAAATTTTTCTCGATACTACGGATTGCCTTTTTTGGCTAATCTAAATTTATAAAAATAAAACTTGGTAGAGCACAATATATTAACAATACATATCTCTAATAATAAATTATAATTTATAACGACATATGATAATTAATAAAGAAATAATTTGTGATATTATGTTCATGTAAATAAACAGAGTCATTATTATTATTAAATTAATTATTGTGAGGTTAAAAACACTATGATTCTAATAATTTATAATTAATTTTTTTAATTACATATATACAACAAAAAGATTTAGAAGTTGATCATTATATATATTTATTATTTTTTTTATATACATGTAGATTTTATTTGAAAAAAAAAATATACGTTAATCCGAGACTCATTGTGTACTATAAAAAGTAAATGATAGGAGCGGTTCTTTCACTCATGAATGCGATCACTAAGATGAATACAGTTAATCCATATTCGATAATTTTTTTTCCCTTGTTAAATATTAATATAAAAAAATGAATTCAAGTTTTTCAATAAAGATTTCAATGAGTTTATCTTGAAAGAGTATATAATATATACACTCCCCTACCATAAAATATCCGCTATACCGAGACTCACTGTGTAATCGGAAATGTTACGCCTTTATGCGATTCAAAATTTTATTAATCAAACCGGGACTGGTGCATTAAATAAACATGTTTTTAAAAGTTAATTTGCATATATATAACTTAAAGTCTCGTCGAGTTTGCATTATTAATGAATTTAGGATGAAACTTTAAATTAGACAAAAAATTCTATTTTTTTTATATGAAAACTTTGAGCTTAGTGAAACCTTCAAAACTCCATTGAACCATAGATTATGTCATTAAGTAAGTCCATTTAAAATATCTTGAATTATATATATGTATATTTATGATAGGTACCATGAAATTACAAAGCAACCCTTGATAATGGCCATTTAACGAGCTTGACTGTATTAAAATGATTCAAGTGATTTTTCAAATGAATATCAAATGATTTTTCAAATGAATATCAAACGATTTTTCTTCATTCAAATATATAAAAATTACATACAAAAGAAAATCTACATCACATACATCGGAAATTGAAGATTTACAAGTCACGGCATCATTATTTTCTATATAAAAGGATGGACTTATCACAAAAATAAAAGTAAAACTCCTTATATAAATAAATCCACTCCTTTACTTAGAAAACACACACAGTCCCGGTGATAGTGAAAAATGGGATTATTATATGCAAGCCTTAGCGAAATCAAACTTACCGATGTTTTTTTTGCATTATCATCTATAATATGTTTATATTTAATTCATTTCTATTATAAACACTATACTCGCATTAATCCACTCCCTGGTCCAATACCAATTCCATTAATAGGAAGTTTTGCACTGGTTAAAAAAGATCTTGATATTGATGCTTTTTATTATAATTTAAGTAAAAAATATGGCGGTGAAGGTATATACGAAGTAGCTATTGGTGGCAAGAGACAAATATTATTTACTCGTGCTGATTATATAGAAACCTTTTTTTTATCATCCATTAATGTTGCTAATCATGCAATAAGAACTGAGAAGGATGTTCTTTTAGACCTTTTTGATCTTGATAGAAAAGGAATAGCATTAAACTTCGATCACCATAATTGGAAATTTAATCGTGAAATGTTTACACAGGCTATTATGCCATTAACCTTTTCTCCCAAGCCTAGTAAATATGTAAATGCCTTATTTGAAGAAATGTCAAATTGTTGGATGGATTTGAAACCAAAAGGCGATGCTGCTGGAGTTATTAATATAGCTAGTTGGCTGCGTCGATTTACAACTGATTTTATACACATTTTGGTAACAGAGAAACGAGGTTTTGCAATTCATTATTATCATCGTAAATTTAAAAATGAGATCACAAAAGAGATGATTGAATCTGAAGAGTTTATTGAATGTGTAGATACTTTTGTATCAGACAATATTCCATATGTACCACACATTTTAAAAGATTTCCCTTTTATTAGACCTCGTGTGCAGAAATTGATAAGAAATAATGATCGTTTTTATATAAAATTAGAAGATATTATCAAAAAAAGAAGAAGAGAAATTGAAAAAAATTTTAACAGTAATGATAATTCTAAGCCGAAACAACTTGATCTATTAACCTCTATGATTATTGTTAATACACCATATGACACTCGTCCTCCTCAATCAAATGTTGATCCATCATTATTAAGACCAATGACTGATAATGAAATACGTGGTGTTTTGTTTGATTGTTTTGTGGCTGGTACAGATACGGTAATGTAACATGGATATTAATCCAACCAACCAACCAATTATTTAACAATATATTTATTTTTTATTTATATAGACTGTGAATACTCTTTGTTTCGTGATATATTACGTTTCACATTATCCGGATGTTAAAAAGAAATTGTTGGATGAGATTGAATCAGTTTTCAATGGTGATCGAACCAGACCAATAACATTAACTGATGTTGGGAAATTAAAATACTGCGAAGCATTAATTAAAGAAACAACAAGAATAAGACCTACAGTTGGTATGATTTCAAGATATTACGATAGACCTATGGAAGTAGCAGGATACAAATGGCCAAAGAACACTCTATTTGTAATGCATCTTCGTGGAATCAACAATAACCCACTTTATTGGAAAGATCCCGAAAAATTCATCCCAGAAAGATTTTACGATGATCAAGGAATTGAACATCAGCATAAAAATTCATTTGTGATGTTTGGTGGAGGTTCAAGAGTATGTCCAGGTAGAAAGATTGCAATGGTTGAATTGAAAATATTGTTGGCTTCGCTTTATAGAAAGTTTGACGTTGAATTGGCAAATATGCAAGCTCCCATTAAGATTGAAACATCAACAATCACCATCTGTAAAGAATTAAACGTCAAACTCACTCCTAAAAATTAACAACTCGTTCAGATAGGATTCTATAATAGTAATTATACGATAACACTACATCTTAAATAATCTAATTTTTCTCTTGCATTAAAAATTCTTTTATTTATCTATATTTATAATAATTCTAATAATTCATTTAATTTAATATTTCATTTAATTATCGGTATTATTAATGTGTAATGTATATTTTAATTTTTTTTTGGAAGTTGTTCTACCGAGATTTCAATTTTAATATTTTAGTATTATATAATTCTTATTAATAAAATAAGCAATAGGATAATACAAACAAATATATTCCAATTTTTCGTAGGAATCCACTCCATAATCAATTGTTTATTAATAAAAGAAAACAAATTTAGGCTACTGTTGCGAATTTTGTTGATTGTAACTGGATGCCTAATTGTGAAGGGTTTAGTAATTGCTTTCAAATATCTCATAAATCAAGAAATGAAATAGAAATTATTTAGCCGAGTTAGGAAAAGGAGAGCGAAAAAAAAGATAATGTGAGTTAAATAGCAAAGTATCGAGAAAAAAATGATAAATGTGGTGGAAATGAGGAATTTGCTAAATTTTATTTATTAATTGCAAATTATAGATGTGGTTCGATGGGATTGATCCCATTTAACGTGTTTGAAAATATTGAATACTTTGCTAAAGGTATATAGTTTCGGTGATGTTGTATTAAAAAGTTTATATAATTCTACTCCAAATGAGAATGGTTGGTATTATAATATACTAAAATGGAAATTGTCAAAAAAATTACCTTTAGAATTTCAAAAGAATTACGTTCATCATAGCTTAATAGGTGATTTGGGCTCTCAACGTTTAAATGAAAAAGGAAATCTTGAATTAATAACATATTTAGTACTTGAGATGTCATAAGGTATACCATATAACAAAAATAATAATTAGATAGTTTTATGCTACAGACAAGAAGCCATTTTACAATGTGACCCATAATCATCGTTTAAATTTTGGCATACTAAAGAAGAGAAAAAAAATCTGAAACCACTGAAGTCACGCCTAAATATTTAACTAATAACTTAATTACAATATAAAAGAGCTATTGGTTTATTAAATTAAGCCAATAATTAACTAAAAAATAGGATTAATTTTATATTTACTAATATGCTTTTAGACTATACTAAGAATATTATTAACTTATCAGTATGCCAATACCTTGATTATTTTTTTAAAGAATTATCAGGTTCTGATATTTACTGATACTCATTATCCAATTTGTCATCATTCAACCAGTAAAAAGAGGACCAATAGATTATATATAAGCAAAGAAAGATGAGAAAAATTTTAATTCATGCACAAACATAATAGCTTGATTGACAATGGTGGTACAGTCTTGGATTCCATGCAATTTTTTATTGTATAATTAATTATATATCTTTAATAAAACAAAAAATAAAACAAACATGACTGACTTGGCTATTTAATCATTTCCTTGTATGTGAACGCCTCCGTCCATCAAATATTCATGATGGTCATTATTATGATCCATCAAAATTGTGGTGTGATAATGAAAAAAATTTTCCCAATACTTGCTATTTTAGCCAAAAAATATTTGGCAGTCCCTTCGGAAGACTTTTCTCTGATGCAGGGCAACAAATTACTTTGTTACGAAATAGACTTAGCTCACAATCTGTTGATCATGTTCTTTTTTGCCCATTAAAGAATAATAAAAAAATGAAATTTTAAAATTCATGTTGTAAATGAAACGGGATTTATTGAAGTGATGTTTTGGACATGTGACCTAGATTCTTTCATTTTATTGATTACTATAATATGTAAAAGTTGTTAACTCATAAGCATAAAACAATCAAAAGCTACTACTACTATTTGCAATGTAAAAATTGATTACTTTTCGATTTGTCGATCAATTCATAATCGATTATAATCAATTAACATCCCTAATATGTGAGAGAAGAATACAAGGACATTCATCATCTATTGATCAATAATTCATCAACTGGTTCCTGTCATAAGTTCGTTGTCACTGGAACATCAAGTGCAGGTAAATCATGCTTTTTGGTTTATTTCTTGATCCGATTATTGTATGAATGTGAAAATATTAATACCATCTTCCAGTCTCATAAGAAAAGTGAGAAATTCTATTGCTTTGATGAAGATGGAATTAATGTTGGAAGTTTAGGTGACTTTTCAAATTGCTTCAGATCTGGTGAAACATGCTAATCTAGCAGATGGTGTCATAAATCCTGAGGATGTTGAGGCAAAAACAATGGTCGCTTTATCACCAAAAAGCATAAAGAAATATGAATTCCAAGAATTTGATAAAATTATTGTGAAGAGGTTTTATATAGGACCATGGTCGTTAAATGAGTCGTTAATTTGTAAAAAATATGTCTTCTCGAGAGTTCCGGTAATTATAATGTTGGAACTTTACAGCAAGACAGGTGGTGTGCCAAAATATGTCCTTCAAAAGATTGAAGAGGCAATGAAATATTATGACCCAAAGACACTTAAAGTAACGGATGAGATTTTAGGCAACTGCCTAATTCACCAATGGCCAAACCTTACTTATGATGATTATTATCTTGGATGGGCCTCTAATTTTATATTTGATGAAATCCAAAAAAAACGCACGGAATGATCTTCTGGAAAAATCCGAGATCATAAAAAATATCCTATTGCCAGGGGAATAATGTTTGAACTGCATGTAATTCATCTCTTCATGACTGGAAACATCACTTTGCAACAAGGAAATTAGAGAAATGCAAGTTAAGCCTCACATAATTAATTACTGTTGACGGTAATTGAGAGAGTTTACTATATCTTGTTTTTCATTATCAGGATGATGAAGATGATGCAGACAAGGATGGTGTAGACAAGCATACTGCTATCATCAGAAAATATAAAATAAAGCACCAATCAAGAGTTGAATACATCCTAACTCCAGAAGAATTTTCAGATCATAATGAAGGAAACAAGGTTATCCTACCATCAAAATCAAATTTTGGTGCAGCAGATCTATTTGTTACTCCTGACAATATCTTTCAAATAACAGTGCCAAAAAAACATCCCATCAAGCAGGTTGACCTTGTTAATATAATCAAAACATGCAATCATATATAATTAACAAAGAAGCAAAGGTTAAATTTTATTTCGTGGTTTCAAGTATCACAATATCATAACACGTGATAATGATAATAAAAACTTTCGGGAAGTCAAGTCCATGTCCCACTTCCTCAGAAATGTGGAACAATGGGTTCTAAAGGTCGATATTAAACCTAAGATGTAAATTTGTTAACATCACAGTAATGTTGGATGAGTATGTTTAATAAATTATGCCCTTGTGGCTTTTGCATCACAATTTACAATGTACAAATTATAAATAAAGTTTCATTTACAATAAATATCCGACCATCTGACGATCATTTTAATAATTGGGAAACTTATACCTCACGCAGTTCAAAATTTTATT